TTAACCAACATGTCTCAATAAAAGAATTCTGATTGTTTCGAGTCTCCGGGACTGGGTTTTCTCTCTTCTTCAATCATTAATTTTTTTTACAACACTGGATAAGTTGATGGTTCATCTCACTGTGGCAACCCCTGATTAATAAAGGGACTAAACCAAAAAGAAAATGAATAAATGAATGAATAATTAAATGATGTCATTACACTGCTGTGCCATCAGGCAATGATTGCATTTCGAGGATCTGAGTTTTTTAATCTGATTCACAAACTTGTTTGAAGTACAACATTAGCCAGAGATCAAGATTAAAAGATCTGCCAAATCATCTTAGATTATTTAAGCGAGGTACGAAGAATAGACCCATGGTCAGTGGATAGTTTCTAAACGAGGCATGAGCCTCGATGTCCTGATGAAAAGTGCACCCCTGCCAGATTATGCCCTCATTCACTTGTATGGGGTAAGGTTGTGATTAGGTGTGTGGGTGGAGTTCAGGTAGTGAACTCAGCAAGGGTGGGCATCATTTGGAAGAGGCGCACCCCTGCCAGATTATGCAGGCCCTCATTCACTACCTATATGGGGTGGCAAAAAGTGCGATTAGGTTCGAGGTTGTATAGGGTTAGGATTAAGAGGTCTGGTTGGGATTTGGAAATCAGGTGAATTCAGCAATGGGTGTATTTTACAGCACAACGATTGCCATGCACCTGGGCTCTGTATGCATTGTGGGAACGCAAAACTGAGGTGTAAAAGAAGAAACAGAATTCAACACAACACATGACTGTCAGGTTAGTCAACCGCACGTGAGGTGTACTGCCACATGGAAGTCTAAATATTATATTGTGATATTCATAGACAAATAATAACTAGTTTCACTGTAAATCCCCTGTGATGTACCGTACTAAATATATCTCCTAGCCAAGGTTACTGTTGTAATTGAGATAAATAACAAACAGGAGAATGTCACAGACTGGTGTCTTTGTTGTGTTTATGTCATGTAATTCCCCATGTGACCTGCTCTATGTGCTTTTTTTTTTAATCATGTGAATTCTTTGTTCTGTTTTGCCACTTTGTGTTGTGTTTAGCAATTTCCCCTGTCTCATTGCCATCTTTCCATTTCCCTTGTGCATTCAATGTTCTACTTTCCTTGGTGTAAGTGCCTTTTATGTAAATTAAGTTGTGTCCTGAGTACGTTTGCATGTTTGTGAGTGAGCCGACTCTGTGGAAGAGAACTAATCTCTTCTGTGAAAACCTGCTAACAACATTATCAACTGACTAATCAGCCTAGCCAATGAGAAGAGAAATATAATAATAATAATGCTAATAATGCTAATAATAATAATACATTTTTATATATGTCTACATGTGATAAATGTTGATCTTTGCTAGCTCTGAAGTAGACTAAAATGGCAACTTATAAGCACATACAAAACTGCAATTGACCTGATTTGCAAATGCTGAATTTGTTGCATGTTCTGAAATCATACAAACAAATGTTGCCATTGTTAAAAAAAGAAAGAAAAAGAACATTCATGTTCATAAAATAGATTTCTGTTCATAGGAGCAGTTTCATTTGACATGTTTTACATATTTTATGTGTTTAAAATTTCTGTGTACTAAAAGAAGGAAAAAGTTTTAAACTGAAATGTGAGTCACAGTATGTACTATAACTATACTGTCTTCCTCCTTCCTTGCAAAAGTATTTCCTTATTGCCTAATAAAATTGACTTTTTTATATAACTGTATGATCTTCATGTGAATATTGCTTTGGAAGTTATAAAGATTGAAATCAACTTTAAAAAAAAATCATTTAAGTAGTATATACAACCATTAACTAAATTTAATGTAAACATTAATAAATTTATAGCCTTATCTTTTTTCTGCAAAAACCTTGATTAAAAACCAGACTTACAAAATGAGTCAGAAAAATTGTCAAGGTACAGTAATAATAAGCTTTACAACTGAAACATAATGACGTTCCTCATGGGCTATTTAGCAGCCAAGAAATCTTAAAGTTGTTGTGTATTTTATAAAATGTACATTTCAAATAAGTAAGGTAGGAATGTTTGAGGCATGAGCCTGTAAAGTTTAAGTTGCAGAACAATTTACAAATTACCATGTGGGATTTTACTCATACTTTGAAATCCCCCATTATAAAGACACCATAGAAAGATTTTGGGTGAACCCATGGCGAATAATATTCTAGTTATTAATATCATTCCTGCACTACATTATTTTTTGCCGTTTTCTGAATCCGGAGTTACAAGAATCCTTTATAAACGGCATCACAAACTGAATAAATTAAATTGACCGTTCTTTGTAAATGGGAAACTGTGTAGGAGTAGGGACGGTGCATCTTTTTGCAATCATTCCCTTATAGCAAACTAACTGTAAGAGGGTCATGGTTTCGAATATTCAGGCTGAAGCCTTTAATCTGACATTAACAGAAGCACTGCCACTGGACATTGAACAAATAGTCAGACTTTGATTTAAAAAAAATTCAGTCAATTAATTTGCAGGTGATTTATACATTGTATATTTTGATTTCACACAGACTTTAAGGCCATGTCCACACTAATGCGTTTTCATTAGAAAACGCATATTTTTGTCTCCGTTTTGTCCTTCTGTCCACACTGAGATGTGTTTTTAGGAAACAAAACGCTTTGTTTGTTTTTGTTTAGTTTTTTACAAATAATAGATACAGGTAAAACTATGTTAAATGTAAAACTCTCAGTCATAGAAACAAGACAATCTAAATCAAGTCAATTATAAAATGAGTTAGGTCATTTTAAAAAAACAAAAATTTGCCTTTAACTCAACCTTTACACAAACTCTTTAATGACCATTGTTATAGTGAGTGGTTGGCATAGATATATGCACTAGATATCACATACAGACCTTTAGCATTCGTCAATAGCGCTGCCACCTTTAGGCAGGGCTCTCAGCATAAAATTCCTTCAACCACACTATAGTCAAGGCCAATGTGAAGATGCTGCGTGCTAGCGCTGTGTACAGGTGTAGTAACAAACAAAGAAAACAAAGCACAAAGGCAGAACATTTCATAGGTAATATTTTGTTTTTTACGTATTTGTGTATGTTATGAACTTTTGTGCTAAACAAGTAATGTTATTGATGATACAGTCAGTCACTTACTGCATTCACTATTAGGCAAAGTAGCATCACCTTGCACTAAATTCTAGGCTTGGTCCCACATTCGTTTCAAAGGAGCGCTACCTTGTACAAAAATGGCGGCTTTATTGACGCACTCCTTTCAATAAGCAACAACGAGGCAGGCGACATCTAATGTAAATATCTATGAGTGGTTGTAAGGTGCATGACAATGGAGTAGTAGAGAAACCAAAATAATGGTGCTTTACCAATATCTGGTGCTTACAAAACTATCTGGGAATACACAAGATTGCAGGGAAAAACAAATACTGAACTGAATCAAGAAGAGACATAAATACCCTGAGTCAGAACAGTGTAACTGTCATGAGCTCAAAGCCACCCCTAAGAACAGGAAATACAGTACATAATCTTTTCTAAGCAAATTTATTCATTATTAAACATTATTAATTTATTAATCAAAATTAAACATTGGTATATAAACATGTCTGGTTGATTCTGTTTAAATGAAAAGGAAAACTTGGTCTACTGACTAAACCCTCAATCTAACATGGGCGAGATTGTATTGCAAAGATAAGATTAGCCTGTTTAAGGTTAAGATTAACCTTAATTTTGGGTCCAAAAAAACAACTAACACCCTAGGTAAGTAACTGAAACTAATTAACTTATAAGTGTGACCTACTATCAGATATTTTTTAAACAATTCTAAAACAATTTCTAAATAATTTCACTTTACACAAATGTACAGTGTTATTTTTCACCCTGTGAGTAGGGATAAAAGTAATACAACAATATTTGCTATATTTACTGGCTTACTCTTGTTTATATAAAATATACTTGGCTATGACCTTGTTATTATGTTAACTGCAAACATATTTTGTGTTTAATCTTTGCAAAAACAATCAAGTTACTTTTCAATTTACTTTTTCAATATCATCAAATGTTTCAAAAGTAACCCGACAGTACAAAATTGAATTATTTATAATTTTTTTTTTTTATTTGTGGCAGTTTGCAATATTTTTTTTAATTATTACTCTGACACATTGTCAAGATGTGGAACACCAGTGCTTTGATTGAAAGCTTCATTTAGGCTACATATTGAAACACTACATTAATCCACACACTGGAAGAATATTTTATAAGCTGCATCAATGCTCAACCAAACATGCATAAAATAAATTGCAATAGCATTTTTTAAACAGAGATGGTGACAAACAAGCAAAATACTATTATTGAATCTACAGTAGCTCTATAGACGAATTACCAACCTACTTTACACATGAAGACACACAGGTTCCCGGTTGCAAAAAGAGACCGGTTGCAGTAGCAAACATCTCATGTTGTGCAGTAGGATGCCAAATTGAATAGAAATAGAAAACTTAAATTTTACTGTACACCAAACTGCTTTTGATGCCAACCGCAGATGTCTTTGGCTTAAAGGGAGCTGAATGGAGTGGGGACCTAATTAGAAATGCTGGACTCTATAGTTCTCATTTCTTATCGGGTACGTTTATGCTATGCTGAATCATACTGTACACATTACTTGTTTTAGATTGCTGCAATGATTTTAGCAAAAACAGTTTAATATGGGTAATTAAACTGCGGACACTGAATACTAGGAATGAAACATAAAAGTGTAAGTTATTAAAGTAAAGTTGGTTTTATATTCACACATTCATTCAGTGACAGCTTGTGAGTTGTGACATACTCCCTATATTGTTTACCATGGCACTGTGAATATTGAAAACAACATTAACACTTTATTTGACTGTGAACAATTTTGTACTTTGATCTTTGGTAAATGCTAGTGCTCCCGTTTTTTTTTCTGCCACCCCGCTGCGCGCACATCCTGAATGTTTACAAACATGGTAATTCGTCTATACATTTTATGATAAAATGACCAATGCCCTGTCTGTCTCGACAGTGCCAAACATTGGGTAAATGTTTTCAGTCTCATTAAAGTCTGTGTTAAATGTGTAGATATGTCTTTGTTTTTCTGCATCATAAAAGGAGACGTGGCCTTCTTCTATATCTAGATAAACTCCAATCTTGGACGGAGACTGCACGTTGAGTTTAGTAACGGGTTCAGTCAAAGCCATCACAGTTCCCAGCTGCAGACGCAGATTCCAGTATCCTGCTTTTGTGTTCATGTTGACATATCCATTACGAGGAGCAGATTCCTTCACGACTCCCACTCGCCACTCATGTTTCTTTTTTACACCCACCTCCCAGTAATGACGACCTGTGCTGTAACCCTCTTTAGCTTGAACACACGCCCAGCCATCAAACCTACATTTCTTCCTTTGAAATCCTTCCCAGTTATCGAGACCGGTATATTTTTTAGACTTCAAATATTTTCCATCGTCAGAGACCAGGAGTTCTGGGTTGGCTGTGTTAGGATCTAGAACAACAACATCTACAAAAAATAAAAAAATAAAAAATGTACTTAAGTTCTGAATCTTGAACTGTTTATAATACATTTGCACTTGTATGAAAGCTTTAATTAAGTCAGAGGTGCTTTACCTGTTGATGTTGTAATCCAATTCCAAACTGCAGAAATGAAAATATTATTAAACTGTATATGTCAGAAGATGACTGACCACTTAATTTTCTTAAGATGAAACATTTTCTTCTTATTTTTGTTGTTAGTGAATCTAAATAAAATACCTGGTTTAGGAATACATAATCCAGCTACAGATGAGGAGAAAAGACGACAAGAAAACACATTTGACAAGCTTTTAAACATATAATTGAGTGCACTTCGTTATTATTCAGAGTCAGACATTTACCAGCATGAAAACACAACACGTTTATGTATGAATCAGTTGAAGAAACCAAAGCAATCCTCACCTGTGTTTCTGGACCTCTGTTTACTCCTGATCCACTGTCTGGCAACTGAATCCTGTCATTCAAAAGAAAAACATTTTACACAATAAAAGCACAAAAAAATTATCTGTACTTTCTCCATAACAATAAGCAGCCTATATGTTGTTAATGATTTTTTGCCTGTATTAATACAATAATGAAAACTTTTTATCAAATTTTAGTATTTACTGCACTTCATAATAATTCATCTATAGTCATTTACTTGCTAATCAAACAATTTCACAGAGTAACTCAAATTTGAAATTGAAAATGCTCCGCAGGCAGAGTTTTAAAATGAACAAGCTAAATATGCTTAAGTTCAAATAATAATGTTGTATAGCCATGCTTATATTTTGTATATTCAATGTAATTTATTTAAGGGTTTTCACCTATAATGTATAGGACATTAGAGTGTATTGACAGGAAAGCATGGGGAGCAGAAAGAGAAGGGAATAAGGATGTAACGGTATCAGAATTTCACGGTATGGTAATACCTCAGTATGAATGTCACGGTACGGTATTTATTGAATCATTTACAGGAAAAAACTAAACTTATGAAAATACTCCAAAAAAGTGCCAAAAGTGTCAATGACATACAAATTAGCCATCTATCTGTAAGCTTTGAAACAGGAACTTCAATTTTAATAACAAAAAAATATTAAACCATGTAAAAAAATTAAGTTTCAATTTAGTAGTGTTGAAAACTCATCTCATTCAACATTTAATCACTCACTCACTTAGACAGAGATGGGTTTAAAGGAAAATTATCATATAACTATAATCTGGTAAAAGCTGGTATCTCTGGGTATTTACAATGTACCCTACAACAGAAAAAAACCTCTCATTTGGGACTGAGGTTTCTGGGACGAGAGATATGACTTGGCCCAGGTTGACAGCAGTGGGTAACGTTGTGCATTGTCTTTCCCCCACTTAAGAAGACAAACCATGAGTGAGATAGAGATCTCATGTCTGCATCAATCTGATCAGTGTGCTGTGTTTCTGCAGTACCCATGACTGATTATTAGTCGAAAATACGGGAGAATTTCGGCAAAAACGGGAGGGTTTACGTGAGTGCAGTGAACAGGAAGTGTTTGTGGAGAAACAGTTTTGCGAGAGAACGCAAAACATCTTTGCGAGGGAACGCAAAACATCTTTGCGAGATAACGCAAAACATCTTTGCGAGGGAACGCAAAACATCTTTGCGAGATAACGCAAAACATCTTTGCGAGATAACGCAAAACATCTTTGCGAGGGAACGCAAAACATCTTTGCGAGATAACGCAAAACATCTTTGCGAGATAACGCAAAACATCTTTGCGAGGGAACGCAAAACATCTTTGCGAGATAACGCAAAACATCTTTGCGAGGGAACGCAAAACTTTGCGAGAGAACGCAAAAACTTAGAATTATATATTTTCCTCCCACCCATTTTTTTCTTGCACCCATTTTTTTTTTTTCACCCAGCCAATTTTTTTCTCCTCCACTACCTCCCTTCCGGGGTTCCGTATTTTACCGAGTCATGCGACTACGGTAATATCGGAAAAAAAATAATATTGCGGTATGACGGTATTTACAATACCGTTACATCCCTAGAAGGGAAGGATCGGTATAGGACCTTGAGACGGAAACTCGCCATGCATTGGCACCAACATAAATATTTTTTTGAATAACTTCTAGATGCTTTACCTGAGAGCGTTCTGACTGTAGTACCGTCCAAATCATCCAGTCCATAACTGGAAGGATGCTGGACTCTCCCTGCTTCCACTGTCTGTGAAGATCCTTCAGGATTTCTTCACATTCACCCTTTGGACATACTGAGTTCTGCTCAACAAACAGAAAGCAGAAAGGCATTTTTGAGATATCTTATCTTGAGCATGACTGGAATTTTTTATCTTATCTCTTATCTGATCTTGGCAATCAAACTAGCCCAAACCTGTTGCATATTTTTCAGTGTCCATGACCAATCAGAAAGGATTGTTTTAGCTTTTTTAAATCTTTTTTCGCTGTTTGTCAAATGCTCAGAGAAGGGCTGTTGTTCCTGGAGGAAACAAAGAATTATTCCAATTCAGTTTGGTTCATAATTTTGTCAGTATCAGTCATTATTCACACCCCCTGTCTTGTCTTTTTGCTTTATTCTCCTTGAACCTTTGTGTCCATGGTTTTATTGTGTCCTACTCCTACTACCTGTTCCCTATCAGTCTGTTTTCTGAATTTTTCAGTTCCTGGTTGTCATTCCTTAAATGAAGTCAGTGTTTCTTGTTATGTTCTTTGTTTAATAAATGTTTGTACTGGACATGTACTGCACCCATGTTAGAAAATCACGCTGTTCTAAGCAGGCTTGTTGGGACTTTGCTAAAAAAATAAATAAACCAAATCTTTGCAGAAACATGGACTTTTTGCTTTATAGTATCACACTACAAATAATCACAGAAGATGTTATCACAACAATGACCACATGCCTGTAGAAATGTAAATCCCTAAAAATGAACAAAACACAAACCTTTTTGTTGTCCAATTGTTTGATCTGCATGTTCTCAACATCTTCAGCCCACTGGAAAATATAATATTCCTGTTCCTTTTGTTCTTCATCATTAGTCCCTTTACTTTTAATCTTTTCAGTCATCAAGAGTATCTTGGACTGTGTGCACAAATGTAGGTTATTTAAAGAATGCTTAATAAACTCTTGATATTAAATTTATATAAAAATGTCCAGTATGTTCACCTGTACGACTCTGTCCAGTTCAGCAGCCAGTTCTCTGATGATGCACTTTGACTCATCAAGAGAGAAGTCTTCTTTTTGCTCAGTACTTCTGATGGCTGGTATTTTAAACACCTATAAAGAGATTTTTAAAACTTATTTAAAGATACTAATGGTTTACAGATAATCAGTAATATTGTATATATACCTGGTAACAGACCAACCCAAGGTCTTTAAGAATTTGAACAACTTTCTGTCAAGAAAAAAAAGACCATTTCAATAAATGTTACCACTCTTATAGCATGCTGAAACTAACTACAAGGTTTTGTACCATGTAAAATAGTAATAAGAAACATGTTATTGACATCTTACCTGCTTTGGCTGATCACTCAACTCTGGCTTGATAAATGGGAAAGATGCAGAATATCTTCTATTCCTCAAGTATGGCTCTTGAATACTGATGTCACTTAAGGTAATTCCAGTGTTGTTTTCTTCTGTGAAATGTGTAAAGAGGCTGTGAGATTAACAACCACAAAGGAAACGGAACAGTTCTGTTTTTACCACACTTTGCACTTTGGCAGCACTTCCCTGCAGACATTTCAGTAAACAAACTAAAAGTCTGCTGCAGATGCTGTGATGTTGCTTGCAGTATTTAAGTAATGTTAACAAAGTTAAAACACATTTACAGCAATACTTTGAATGCATTTGTTGCAACCTTCAAAACACCTGCCAAAAGAATTTCTGAAAAAAGGTGCAGATATCTTTACTTCCTTAGCACTCCAGATTAAAAAAATAAATACAAAACAAAAATGAAAACTTACTAGTTGCTGCAAATGCCATATTTCATGTGAAGTGTAATCCAGTAAGATCTCTCTGAACATCTTTGACTGTCACTGCAGACGAAAGACAGGTTTCTGCTTTTGTTTTTCACTTTTGTTAGCCACTTCGTAGGCTAGTCTCCACCCTTTCAAAAGTGAAACCCACAAGGTTGTTGTTTTTGATATCAATGTTTACTTTGCATGGTCTCTATGATCTGTAAAGGTTGTTGTGTTCTTTACATTGTTATGTGACCTTGCTATTATGCACTCTTTTGTGTTGTCCTGTGTTGAAAGCATTAGGGAGGTTCCGTTGCTATTAATACTCTATTAATAGACTGGATTGTCTTTTTGTCTTTTGTTGTTGTATTATTCTGTAAATTTTAAAAAGAGACTTGATGTGATTATATCACCCCAACTTGACTGTAAACATATTATACCTACACACATTTCTCTTCAAACAGCTTTCAAAAGCTGATTTGGGTATGATAGGTGCCCTTTTAAAACACATGGTTGAAACATGGTTTGAAACATTCTAAAGTAAGATTATATCAATGTTACATAAAACGACTGAATTATTTTATCAATTATTTTAAACTAAATTATTTTTATGATTAAAATTATTTTAATAACTTAAATTAATAAGTTAAATTACATTTTACGTAACTTAATGATATTAATGTATAATAACTACAGTTGATGTCAATTTAAGACCTGAGACAACACATTCAATATACTGATGCACATTTATTTTCTTTCTCAACTGTTAATGTACTTATATTGACTGTGCCAAGATGGGAATTTTGTTATAAAAGGAAAAGTCTGGGTGATGGTACAAATTGGTCTGACCTTTGTCAACATGTTGTTAGTTTCAACATGTTTTTTTTTAATCACATGGGTAAATAGACTTGTGTCTGTCATGTGTTGTTTGTTAATATTTGCAGTGTTCCTATTTTATTACATGGCATGTCACCATTCTTATTTATACTGGTTGCACAAATCATGAAGTATTGCGGAAGATCTCAGCAGAAATGTTTGGTTGGTGCCAGACTAGAGGCTGCAGTGATCAAAATCTACTACAGATAGTGTCACGAACACAATAAGATTGAAAATATGAAAGGACTATACATTAAATTGAAATACATTCTGCCCTGTCTCAAGTCACACAAAATGTTTTTATTTAGTCAAAAGTGTGGCTTTCTATAGTTTTTTCTAAGCACCTTTTTAAACACCCTGATAGAGAACATCTTAATAGAATAAAACAATGGTATATGTATCTAGACTTTATGTATTTTTTTCCAGGATTTAGTCCCATCAGTGGTTTAACACTAAGCTATTTTGAGTTATATTATTATATTTGATTATATTGAATTCAAACATCAATAAACACACACAAAAAAATGCAATTTTTCTAACTCCAAAAAGGAAAAAAATAATAATTAAAAGCAAGTTCCTTCTGAGTTTTGGCGCTTCCTTGGTGTCCACCATCTCTGTCTCTTGACTTTCTTAACCATGATTTGACTTCTGCTGCTATTTTGCAAGCCGCTCCTTTGCTGGTTTTCTTTACAGCGTCTGGGAAAGAAAACAATTGAAATACAAATGTTAGGTCCCACTTTATATTAAGTGGCCTTAACTAATATGTACTTACACAGAAATTAATAGTTTGTTACAATGTACTTATTGTGTAAATACATTTATATTTACTGTGTACTTATGCTTGCTTAAATACCTGTATGTAATTACATCTGTAATTAACTTTTGTAATTACATTTGTAAATACACTGCTTACCATCCCTTACACCTTAACCCACCCTTAAACCTACCCACACCACCAAACCTGTCCCTAACCCAACCCCTATCCCAACTCAAGAGCACCACAAGTGTCCTCAAATACATTATGAACACAGTAAGTACATTGTATTTATTTTTTGATGTAAGTACATAGTAGTTAAGGACACTTAATATAAAGTGGGACCAAATGTTAAAATCAATATAATGTTATTTAAGTTCTATGGACCCTTTTCCCATTTCCGGGTTGCTTTGTAGAAGTCATCATAGTTGGGTAAACATAGAGTGAATGGCAGAATACAACAACATTTTTGCATTTTAATTTGCTCTAATAGTACAAGAAAAACTCATTGATAGTGTTATCAAGACTTCCAGAAAAAAGCAAAAATAAAAAATAACAAATTGTGTGAGACTGATAATGGCATCCAGAAGAGAGAACAACATCAAATTTACTGCCCATCACACTGCATTAGAAACACCTGACAATCTTTTTTTTTTCTTTTTTTTTTTTTGTATTTTGATGCACAGATGACATAATGCAAAGTATAGCTTTAGAATTGTACATACATTTTTTCCTATCTAAAATTACAAAGAATTCAAGATTTAAGCTCTATTTGAATAGATGTTTAGATCATTTTGTTGAAGATTTACTTCAGATTTAAGATCATTTAAGATCATTTAAGTACCACAGTTTGTTATGTTACAGTCATTAAGTACTCCTCCTAAGCTAGTTCCTGTTTTGTGTGCTGTTTTGGTTAATCCTTCTGAAGATGCTTCATATGTTCTTGATTTTAATGAGAACAAAAGAATAAAATATTTAAGTTTACTCTTGTAGTTATTTCACATTTCTGAAGCAAAGGACTAGAGGTTTTTTGTTTATTTAACCTTTACCTAATTCGTTAATTTGTTTTATTTTCCCTTAATTATACATTTTAGTTTACCTTGTTATTTTCCTTCCCCAACCCTGGACAAAAAGGGGAAGGAACGTAACATTGTTTCTGTTCTCTTAATAACTTTATCTTGTCTCCTGTAAAAAAAATAATCTGAAACTGTGTTGTTACTTTAGCTGCGTATAAACGTTGCTATAAACGCGCTGCATGTGTCTTCCAGTCCTCTAGGTGTCAGCTTCTCTTATAGATTAACATCATTTTACATCATGAAGAAAAACTAAACCCGTCGCGGAAGTAGACATGTCAGTGCACTGTTTGAATGCAACACAAACATCACTGAATGCTTTTGATTTCTTTGATGTTAACATATTATCTATAGCATTAACGATGGGGTTGAAATGCGCTATACGTCACAGAACAAACCCTCGTCCAGAAATAGTTTTTAAGCAGTTGTTTAGATCTCCTTTTTTAACAGCTACCGAGTGACTGGGTGAGTGTTTGACTTTTAGCATCTTTTAATACGATTTAGTCTAAATGTTACGGAAGTTGAATGTTATCCAAATAAACCGACTAAAAGTTAACTCAGTAATTACATTTGTACAAATTAAACCACATGTTTAACTTTAGATGTATATTTGCTGTTTATACAGTGTTAAGATGAAATAATTTGCTATCAAATTATTTGTTAACAATTATCTACATCAATAAAAAACTTTTTTTTTTACACCTAGCATTTATTCAAATATATGTTGTTTTTAACATTTACTAATGTCTTATCAAATGCTTACAAAATAGTTTTTAAAGTATGGTAACAAAATATTGTTACTTTTGAGCTAAATTTAACCAAGGTTATAAAAGACTGTAACACATATATTGCTTATTGTATGTAAGCAATATACAATTATTTTCTTACTATAAAATGTTAGGTCACATGATTTAAAATTAGATTAAATTTAATTTATCATTGTAAAATATTACCTATGATTCTTTGTTGCTTTGTTGTTGTTGTATATGCCTGTACAGTTTAATATGTGTGTATAATTAGAGTTTGTTTATATCATGCAGATATTACGCAGATGTGCTGCTTATTTTATTAATAAATTCAAACCATTTTTTTTTTGGTAAGACCATAATCACAAGTGTAAAATTGATTCATGATACATCATAGCAATATGGTGAAATGAACTCTTCAGCACCAATATATACAGCATACACTGTGTGCAATTGGATTTGTACAAGTATTTACAAGTATACGGTCGACCCCAAAGCAGTTCCTTTTAGAATAGATAATGATAATTTAATAATAGTATAATTACTAATAGTGTCATGGGACATATTAAGGATGGACTTGTGTTCAGTGTAACTCTGGTCAATCTAACTTTATAGATGAGATCAGAAATGTGTGTCTTCTGCAGCAGAGAAGTATATTCCTCATCAATAATCTTGTCGTGATAGTTACATGTTGGAACGCAATGTAATGTTTTTTTTTTTTTTTTTTTTGCAGGTGCATATGTCATTTTATACTCCAGAAGGCTGAAGTTTTTGCAGTACCATGGGTCACAGGAGGAGAGGTCACACTCATGCCCCTAAAACACCTACATGTTTAAACGCACACTCCTCCAACACAGTCCAGCATGCTGATCATGAGCAGAGCGTCAAACACAGCATATGTATGGTGTCGGACTTCTTCTACCCAAACATGGGTGGCGTTGAGAGTCACATCTACCAGCTCTCACAGTGCCTCATTGAGAAGGGCCACAAGGTTGTAATAGCGACACATGCGTATGGAGACCGCCGTGGGATTCGCTATCTGACCAACGGGCTGAAAGTCTATTACCTACCACTGCAGGTGTGTTTCAGTCAGTTAATTTCAAATGTCTGATTTTGTTTATGGGTGCACTGTAACATGTTCAGAAGGGAGTTAGGAGGGAACCAGGAACTGAAGGAAATGTTATGCTACTTGTATTTTCAAGTGGTATTTCATGCTAGGAATGAAACAATAACTGGTTTCCCAATAAAGCATGGTAAAGTCACATTCCAGTAACACTTTATTTTGATGGTTCCTATTGCACCTTTTTTTGGCACTGCAAATACATGCCAATTAATTCTCATTTGAGTATTAGTAGAATCTCTGCTTAATATTTGCTGATACTGCTCCTTCAACATCAATTTGCTGATACATGCAAGTACATGTCAACTTATCCTAACCCAAACCCCAACCTAACAGTCTACTTATAATCTAATGAGAATTAGTTGGCATGTAGATGCAATGTAACTTAAATTCAATGAAATGCGTTAAAGGGACCATCAAAATAAAGTGATAGCAAAATTTCTGATGTTTAGTAAGAATATTACCATTGCAGTTTTTAATTATCATGTAAACTCTCAGTTTGCACAGGTG